CTGTTGAAATTTTATTCCCTCTCAGCGACATTCCAGGTATGAGATCTTGGACAAGTTATTTTCTCCGTGTGTCGCTTTTATTATCTTGTAAGATGGATGTAAGATTTGATTTGGGTTGTGGTAGGGTTTAAATGAGTTAATGCGCGTAAGGCGTTTATAACCGAAAAAGAGTAAGTTTTCAGTAAATTTTATCCACAATGTTGATGATGAGTCTCTTATGTGGCGTGTGCATTTTAAGATAGCTGATGTGGTGAGGAGACAGTGCATAGATTTTGGAATCTAGTAGAGCTGGTCGACATCTTTTCACGGCCTGTAATTAGCTATGTGACTTTGACCACGTGAAGAAACTCTTCGAGTCTTGTTTTTCTTTTGCTTTCTTAAGAAAAAATTGCTAAATGGAAATAATCTTTTGGAATTTTTTTTCTGTAGAAATGTGTAATATCGCATGTGAAGTAAAGAGGAATAAACCAACAGAAATGAAATTTTGAACATTGTGAGCCATTGGGAATCATAATTTCATATTTGCTTTTCTATCGTCAGCTGATCTGTGCTAGTTAAGTGTATTTTGTCTTTTCGTAAAATCATCTATTTTGGGAATATCACCTTCTGTTCTTAGGTAGTGAGTATGTGGTCACTAAGAAGTTTTACATGCTAACAGGAAATTCTGTGTGTGTGTGTGTGTGTGTGTGTGTGCGCGCGCACGTGCACATATGAAGAGGCACACGCATATAGAAGACCAAACAAGAGGGCAAAGACTTGACATATTTTGTCTACTGGAGCGTATAGGCACAAAGCCTTTTAACAGGTGGTCTAGAAAGAGGGCATGGCATAAGGCTGGGCAGTGAAAAGCTGGTCGTGGTGGTTGGTTTGAGAGCATATCAGCTGCTAGGGGATGCAGTTGGTATGGTTAGAAACCAGGTGTCTATAAACATTATTCTTGGCTTTTATTAGTCAAATGTCCATAACCCAGCATTGGTCCTGTCTGAGATTATTGATGCTTTTCTACAGCTTGTTCCTGTTATACACAATGGCTTTTTGCTTTTTAAAGATATTTAAATAGAACTGTCTCTCTCTGTGAATATGTGTCTTCAAACGGGGTCCTTTTTAGGAAAACAAACTATATATCATTAAGGTAAAGGTGTATGACTTTGGATATACAGTTAAGAGACATTTGGGAAGTCATTAACAAGGCTTTTTTATGAATCGGTTATTGCAGTGTGAGGAATGAAGACTATGACACAAGTTTATGAAGTGTGTGTCATTAAGTGCTGCTTTGATATACTAACTTTTTTTAAAAAAGCCATTTTTTGTGCAGATACAGGGGATGAGTTACTAAGAAGTTTGAATCATAGGATCAATCTGTTATATTTTGATTAATATTGATGTTTTGTTTTTTATTAAAAGCTGTGATTCCGGTCTGATTTTAAAAAATAATTTCTTCTGGTTTGTTTTAGAAGAGTAAATATGTTTATAATTGATTCTATTCCAATGCCCAAGGTTTAGAGAAAATCCTCAGATCACCTTTGTAATATATATTGTGAATGTTTGAATAAAGTAGCCACATTATTCTGCAGTTTCTAACTAGTTAAAGGTTATGTCAATGAGTGGATGAGTACCATGCAAAAGAGGTCATTGAACTCAGCTGTCTTGGCTTTTTTTGTCAACTTTTTTTTTTGATGGTGGTTGTTTTGTTTTGTTTTGTTTTATTATTCTGTCCTCTATTGATTCTACTCCTGAACATAAGTCAGGAGTCAAAGAAGATGTCAGACTCAAGAGGGGGGCGCACGGAGTATCATTTTCCTTCTGATATTGGTTCTCGCTCTCCTAAAACTCTAAATGATTTCCTGTCTTCCTCTGAGAGTCATTCAGGATGAACGGCATCAGTCCCAGGCACCAACAGACACCCATCACCACCTTGACGTGTAAATGTCTCAGTCTCCCTTGGTTCCTTTGCTCTTCGGACCCTCCCATTCTGACGTGTGGCTGTCAGTTAAACTCCCTGTATGTTAACACTTCTCTGAAAACTCCTCCTATATTTTTGCTTTAACACAGGTGCTTCCTAAACTTAAGTGAATGTTTGTTAAAGTACAGGTTGAGGGGCTCTGCTCTCGGAGTTTCTGATTCTGGTGGGGACCTGGAGTCTGCATTTCCATCAAGTTCCCAGGTGATGCTGATGCTGCTGGTTGGAGGGCCACACTTTGAGGACCATTCCTCTAATGGAAACTTGGTCACCCCGTAGGACACTGTTTCCCCTACATTTCTCTCAAATGGTGACTGTCGTTTCATTCAATTTCCAAGTACGATTATAATTAAGATGGTTTTGGTGTTTGCTTTGCTGCTGACAGCTGTTTCATCCTCTTTATCTTCGCTCCTTCTTCAGATACGTTAGGAAGCCATTGGATTATATCGCCTGCAATACCTTTTGTGGGAGTTTCAACCAATCTTCCACTCGCTCCCTCTTCTTCAAAAAATTTTAGCATCTGACCAACTGTCTTTCTCTCTTTTATTATGCTTGCCAACACATGAGTCATGATTGTATCACTATTTATCACCTCATCCACTGTACTATCCTCCTAAGACAACTTAGATTCCAGACCCCGACACTCCATCATCTTCAAGCAAAACCTTCCTATAGTTTCCCTGCACGACACTAGCCCTGGCTAAACCCAACTCTGCCTGTTTTGGGCCTGAACCCAAAAAGACTTAACACAGATGGCAAAACAAAACAAAATAAAAAACACAGAAATGTGCTGCCAGTTTCTACTTTAAATAAATGATGAAAAAAATCTCAAATGGGTTTTAGCACAATTGTAATTCAATTCTCTATTTTGGCAACTATTAACTGGTAGTTGAGAAGGATCCTCAAAATCTCGGACAAGACTGCGTGTTTTGATTCGGGAGTCATACATATCTGAGTCTGAACCTGTCTTTGACTTTTACCAATTAAATGTCCTAGAGCAAGATATCTAGTCTTTTTACAGCTTTGTTGCCTCGTCAAGAAAATGGGAAACATGATAGTTTATATTTATGTTCTTTATGAAGATTCAATAACATAAAGCATATAAAGTATTTAGCATAGTGCCTGGCTACCAGTAAGCACATGGTAAATATTAGCTATTATTATTGTCAGTAATATTATTGAACTTAGAAGCTATGCCTTGCTTTAGCAAGGCAGACACTTCTTCGAAGCATATGGTTAAAGTGTTTACTAATAAAGATCTTTCTATATTTCTAGTTTTTCCAATATTGATTCCTAAAATGATATCTGAGTGAGTGTAGGTGTGTGTTGTCACAGCATGGACCTCATTGGCTATACCGGAGGATTCAGTTACTTTACAACTTGATAGTTCAGGAGAGGCAGTCTATTGGCACAGATATGAGTGTTTTCCCTGGAATAATTAAATGTTTTCCAAGCCCAGCCATGCCCTCTCTCCGACCTTCTAACAAACAGAATGAAATGAAAGTAATTTGGAAGAATCAGCAATGCACCAATAAGTAAGTCTTTCTTTATTAGGTAGTACGTTCTGGTTTCCTGAACAACCATTGAGTGCTTGATTCATGAAATGTAGTCAAATCATTAACAAGAGCGCTGACAACAGGTGCAAGGCTTTGTTTCCAGAATTTCAGTTCATCAGGGAAACAATCCGATTATTTTTAAGACAATTAATAAATGACATCGGAAATGGGGGAAGGAAGGATTTAGGGGCAGTAAGAGTGAACAAAAGTCTGGTATGAATATTTTTAAAAATGTATCAGGAATAAAATAAATTAAGAAAACACTAAAGGACAAACCACAGGAAAAATGACAAAGGGTCACCATTGGGGAATTCCCATTAGAGATGGCAAGAGAAAGATGAGGAGGTAATGGTTAGTGATAATGGCTATGAACTTACTAATGGCTGTTCTCCATCTGTCCCCAATGCCACAGAAACATAAACATCTAATTATAATAGGTTGAATGTCTTGATAAAAGGCCCTTATTTATTCCTTCATACTTTCGGAGAGCAAATATTCCATTTGAGCAAAGGTTATAAAATTGAGATCACTGTGGATAGTTTTGTTAGGCGGCAGGTCTCCTTCTCATCAACAGAATTAAAAAAAAAAAAATTACCAGCTGACAATTTTAGTGAGGTTTAAAACAGTGCCATACTACCATTCGTAGATATAATGTGAAAAATTCCTTCAGTGTACAGATGCCTCCTCTAGTCCCACAACAAAAAAGGGAATAACATACCTAAGAAGTAATAGATGGTGTCATGAGAGAGGAGACAGTGAAGGAACTTCTACGTCAAGAACAAACCGTTTTTAAGGCTACTGCAGAATTAGAGAAATGGTTACCAAGAAATGGAAAGCACTTAAAGAAAATCATTTTCATAATGGCAAGATCATTTTTGTACATATAAATACATTTTTATTTGGTTATAAACATAACGTTCTTCCATTTTTTCAAAGCCCTAAATACATTAAGTCAATATAAAATTATTAAGTAGCAGAGCCATTGGTTTCTTTGGAAGTATGTTTGTATATCATAGTTTTGTTGCAAAACTAACAAGTTAATGTATATAAGTGATTAGAACAATGCCTAGTCTAAAGTGCTCAATAAATGTTATGAATTAAAAATATCATCATCATCTTGTTCATGATCACTATCAGCATATACTGTAAACAGTATATATGTCCTGGCTTATCAGATAAATCAAGCCATTGCCAGCTTTAAAAATATATGTAAATGTATTTTCCCTTAGCTATGATACTTTTAAAATTAAAAAAGAGATTTAAGGTGCTCACTTTGGTAGTACATATACTGAAATCGGAATTATACAGAGATGATTACCATGGCTCCTGCACAAGGATGACGCAAAAAAGAGAGACTTAAGGAGGAACCGGTCTGCCAGATAATAAACCACATCACGGAACCTGTATAGATAATATGATAAATAAGCAGGAAACAAAAAGATACTATCTACAACATTGATACTTAGTATTTTGGGCAATACTTGATGGGATGTCAAATATTTAGAAATATACCAGCAATTGCTTTTAAAGTAAAGTTTCTTGTTGTTTTAATGGTAGTATAGCATAGTTTTAGAAAATTGTACAAATCACAAGTGTGTGGTTTGATGAAATTTTATAAGATAAGGCCATGAAATTACGACCCAGAGCAAAATATGAAACACACCAGCAAGCCATAAATTCCGATTCCTTCTTTATAATTACTTTGACACAAAAATCATCACTATTTTAATTTTCAGCTCACATATTAATTTTGCTTGTTGTTAAAAATCTTATGTACATAAAATTTTGGGGATTGAACATCTTTTCTCAACATTATTATGTTTATATAATTTATTTTATCTTCATCATAAATTTTTCATTTCCATTGGTGTATAATATTCCATCATATAAATAGAATTAATTTAATAATCCATTATATTACTAATGGAGTTTTGGGTTACTTCCAGTTTTTCAATCATACTTTCATATTGGATTATTATTTTATGTACTTACTATATTATAGTATTGTTAATTGTATATTTCTCATTTTTTTCTTTTTTTTCTTCTTTGAATGATCAAATATTTCTTGTTTTCCTCTCCTATTAGCTTCTTAATCATACAACATTTTACTACTTTAATATTAACTTTCTGAGTACAACATGCATCTGTAACTATGAATTAGAGCTCTTATCACTTCCTGGATAATTCACGGACTTTAGAATATGAACTCCATGTGTATCCTCATCCACCTTTTTTCTACTATGTCATATGTTTTTATTTTACACATATTTTAACTCCTACATGGCATTATTGTTATTTAAAGTCTATATATTTAGATTTATCCATATAATTACTCTTCCTTTGTTCTTTATTTCTCAAGTTTAGTGCTTCTAGCTGGGATCATATTCCTTTGAAGAACGCTATTGAAAGAATGCCTTTCATATTTAATATCGAGGGGTAAAAAATTAATTTTAGAATATTAAAGCAATATGCACTCAAATTAATGTTATTTAACTAGCAATAAAATATCAAATTCTACTCTCAAATTAGTAAAAATTTAAAAAGGAGAGGTAAAGAATGAATAGCCATTATTGGTGAAGGTAGAATGAAATATGAAACAGACATTGTTACAGAAAAAAATGTATAAATATATCCTATGAGCATAATAAAAGTTCAATGTAGATACATATAATAAAAATAAGATGGAAAACTATGAACAATAATTAAATAAACCATCTAACTTATACAGTGAAATATTATATTGTCATTATAATAATGGTTATTAATATAATATAAGCACTTAGAGTACAAATCTAAAATTAGTGTTCAATTATATAAAATTTGTAGAAAAAAATTGTCTGAGACATGGAATTGTTTTCTTTGCATGTAAGTAGTATTTTAAAGCTGTATTGTATTTTTGGTTCTTTTAATATTTTACATATTTATTATATAACAAATACGCAGTTTTGTAAGTAGTTTTTTTAATATCAGCATGCCCATTAGCTGGAATAACGTTAAATCTCAATGCTCATATTCAGATGTATGGCAGGACTGTCTCTGAGTTCTCTCAAGGAACATGGTCAGCTAGAGGTTTCTTGTGTCTCTTAATAGATCCATTTTAGCACGCTCGTTTCTCAGAGTCCTTTGGTCCTTTCTTCGGCACGTTTCTGGACTCTCTAGCTCATTTAATATCTGCCATTTCTTGTTCTCTCAAGTCACCAGTGGCCATCACTGCTGCATATTAGAATCAGCTACACCAGCTCCAGAGGCCCTTGCCAAAGCATTCAATCCAGAATCATGGGGGTGCATCATAGCAGACTCTCCCCTCATCGAGTTTATGTTCTGCCTTTCTTCTTCTAGAGCATCCTCCAGTTAGTTTCCAGGCGTGTTCTCTCGATTCCTATCGGTACATAGTAACAGACTCCGTAGCTCAATCCCTATAATCTCCTCCCTTCTTAGCAGGACACACACTTCCCCAGGTGGGCCACGCCTACACCTCACTCTAACTATAGACCTAGTTTCCAGGAAAGTAATGGGGTAGGGAAATCTTGGGATGAGCAAGCGTTGTCTTTCAAGGCATTAGCTCTCTGCATCTCCTTCCGATAAGTGGATGGTTGCAGTCCTCTAGCAAGAGGCAGTGAGCCACCAGTCCACGCGGGCTCTGGGGTTCCGAGTCTGGGGATGCAATGTGCTTGCATACCCATTCCAAATGGTATGTTTCTTCCTTTCAGGGTCCTGATTCTGGCTCAAGAGACCTGGTTAGATGGGCTGGAGTCTCCTTGAAGTTCTCCCTCTCTTACACTGAATTCCTTGACCTGGTCTTCAGCTGAGTCTGCTTCTCAGCTCCAGAAAGTAGGGTCTCTTTAAATAAGGATATGGAGGATTTTTTTGACTTTAATATCATGCCATTGATTGGTAATTGGCTGAACCGAGCTTGACAGTTTTTTCTCTTCAGAGCATCATTAGGATTTAGCGACGTCCAACAAATTTCACAGTCCCTGTAATGATTTGCCCTTCCCCCAACTCCTAAATGATCAAAATATTGCACGAGCCAGTGCAATAGAAACTCATTTCATGTGACTATAAAATATTTTTATTTAAAAAAATATCTTTCATTTCCCAAACGAAAAAAATGAGTGAGAAGAGAGGCATTGCTTTTCTTCTTTTTCGTTTTTGAGATAATTTTGAGATGATTGTGAATATTCTTTGATGTTGCACCAATATTCAACAAGTGGTAATTTCTTAAAGGTTATTTGCAACATAGACTCTGAAATTCCATCAATGAATGTTTTGTGCTCTGTTATATTAACATCCCTTGGTCTACCCAGCACTTCGAATGTGTCTTTTTCTTTTGCATAATTTTGTTCCTTTGTGCATTGATTATTTGGAAAATATTGGTTCACTGAGTTATGCAGATCTTTCAAATATTGACACATTTCATTCCATAATGTAAAAATACTATATATATTAGTATTGCCATCAAAAATCAACAAGCATCTTAACTATTGTTAAGCTGCAAGTTCACAGTGGCCAACAAAGGTTTCAAAATTCCAGTTTTCTCATGAAAGCTCAAATTTCATCACTGGCAGCAAATACTGTCAGTTTAATTCCTTGAACTGACAGGCTCACTTTGTTCATTTTCAAAAAAATTTCTGCCAAATACCGAAGTCTGAATAACCACAGTTGTCTGTCAATTGTTCTTTCAGTAAAAATAGTGTTCCCTGAAAAAAAGAGCTACTTCAGCTCATCACTCAAACAATTGCATAAGCATAAGACAAACACTGTACTTCAGTAGGCAGCATAAGGGTTTTAGGAATGTTTCCTATTTCCTTACACAAAATAATTACAAATATGTGTACCAAAATGCACAAATGTAATAAAATCAATAAATCTTACTACTTCTTCAAAGATGTTCATAAGTAAAACCATCATTTTTACAAACTGCTTATGCACACAGGATTATGACAATGCAAAGGCCCCAAGAGCAATTTAGTATCTCTGCCTTAGCTCACGCTTTACCCACCGTGGCTTTTTCACCATTGGTGAAAGACAAATCTTAACATCTTAGCATTATCATAAAGATGTTTTCATCTCTTGGAGCTCCTGGGGAGGTCTCAAGATGCCCAGGAGTCTGCAAACCAAACTTTGAGAACTGCTATAATCATTCATTCAGTTCTATAATAACGATCTCCCTATTTAATGTATGTAGGAGGCGTGACATACAGAGGTTAATGTCATGGCCAAAGTCACAATGTTGTGCTTAGAGTTAAGAATACGGGATCGCACACTTCAAACTTTAGGACTGTAAAAGAAGTACAAATTAGTAGTTGATAGATGGTCATGGGGATGAGGAGCACAGCATAGGGGGTGCAGTTAGCATTAACATAATGGCTAGGAGGAGAGCCAGGGGAGAGAAGGAGCAATTAGGGGATCACTTTATAAACTATATAAATGTCTAACCAATGTACTATATACTTGAAACTAATAGAATAAAATTTAAAAAAATTTAAAGATGATACATCTCATGTTAAGTGTTGTTGCTACACACACACACACATTAAGGGACATAACACACACCACACACACACACACACACACACACATTAAGGGACATGAGGAAACTCTAATAGGTGTTGGATATGTCTATTACCTTGATTATAGTGATATCACAGGTATTTGGATACGAGTAGCTTTCTAAGTCTTGTTCAAGATCTTCTTGAGTCAAAATGTCTTTCTACTTCTGTGTTCCACAGTGTACCATGGAATGAGGTTCTGTGATTTATCAGCACTTCGTTTTTTAGGTTAAAAGAGATTTGCTCTTTGGAATATATATCGTATGTGTCCTATTAGATTGATTTGTTTGTTTTTTAATCATAGTAGAGTAGCTGTTACTTTCCAGAAACTTAAAATTGGAGAAGAAAAGAATTGTATGGTTTGTTACAAAGCTGTCAGGCTGAATATGAAATAGACATGAGCTTTAAAGTCAGAAAAACTTGATTTTGAACTTCCGATATGCTTTTTACTAGTTAGACGTTTTTAGAGAAGTCACTTTATTTCTCTGAGCCACCAATTTCTCAACTTTATTAATGCATATCCTCAATCTTTAGCACATTGCCCATCATATAACATTGTAGGCAAATACTAGGACATTTGATTTGCCAAGGACGTTTTGGGCGGAAGTAAGCACATTTTAATTTCCTTGCATATTTTGTCTATTTGAGAAAATTTAACGGAAATCCGAGTGATTCTCATAGGTTTTGTCATAGAAATGGACAAAACGATATGGAAACCTACAAATAGAATATATGTTAACTCAAACTTACTTAGCTCTTCTCTCAGATACTTTCTTATTAGAAAAAAAATTATCAATACATTTGAGCGGAGTCTCCT